ACAACATCCGCAAGGGAGCTGATGTTGCTCGCATTGAAGCGACGCGACTCGCGGAATCAAGCCAGGGGAAAAAGGTATCCAGGACGCACAAACATCCGAAGAAGCGAAGATTGGATGACCGCGCAGATGCTGACGAAGGGCGCCAACCGGGCCCAAGCAAACTGAGCGACTTCCATGTCACCCAGTCCGCATCATCTTCAGCTCCCCAAGCCTTCGATCTCTTTGACGGGCCTCTAACCCCCCTCCCTTCGGATAAGAGGTCAACATCAGTACCTCTACCTGAGCTGGATCTTGGCGACCTCGACAATCTTCATGCGTTCCCCTCGTCTGCGGATCAAGATGTCGACCTCCTGCGCATTAATCTGGGCAGTCTATCATTTACAGATGGCGTTGAGGGAACCGAGTTTCCTGTCGGCACAGAGCAAGTCACGTGGCAGAACGGCGTGAAATCCTACCTGCCGTGGAATTTCATACAAGGGGATGATTGCAATGCACGTAGTCAATCTCCCATACCGTCTTAACTCATGCTCATACCCTGTATTAGGACATAAGCGTAGCACGTGCAATGGCGGCGGCGCCCGACGCCCTTAACCCAGATGAAAGCGGCGAAGCTCTGGTCTTTTCATTCGACATAAATTCTATGTGTTGCGATAGTATGTATCCTACACCTGACGAGTCATCGAAAGTGGTTGCACGGGTGAAGGAGAAACTCGCGATTGGTGTGCCAGTTCTCATTCGCGGATTCAAGCTCCCTGGCCCCCAGTACAAATTTGATCGCCCCTCTATGGAACAGTACAAGTCATCCTTGCACAACCCGGTTGTATTTCAGGGTAAGCTAATCTGTTCATCCAGCGCGTCATAGCCGCTAACGACTAGTTGTTTGCAGATGCGGCCAAGAGGTCTAAATATGTACGCTCCCTGAAAGATGCGGGCTACAATTCCAGCGACGATGAGGCTGCTGAGTCCTCGGGGGACGAGGGAACACCGCCGAAGATCTATGGGGAGCTGCCCCTTGGAGAGTTCATCGACAAGGCGACCTCAACCAGAATCTGCGGGAATCTACTTGATTCCTACGCCCCTGATCACTCTGGCATGCCTTGGTTCATTGGGTATGTCTCCAAACACGCTCCTTAGCTATCTCCTCGGTGAGAGATCTGATGCGTAAAATCTAGCCTTATGAATGAGCAGAATCATGCGATGTTTCAGAACCGGCTCTACAACCTCGCCCTGCCTTGCAAGGCTGGCACGAAGCGTCGTAAATTGGAAGACGCTGCTGAGCTAGCTGGACCGCAACTTATGCATCCAGACACATATCAGCTCGTCATGTGGGACTTGATAACGCACGGCGGATTTGTTTCGCACACGCACCATGATGCTGGCGGCGCAGCAACCTGGATGGCGATCCGTGACGGGGCCAAATTCTGGACGTTGATTAAGATGAAGACAGACGGGTTGGTTTCAAGGGAGCAAGTGCAGCAGCGCTTCAAGAGGGCAACAAAGAGTCTTCCCAAACTGTTAGAGAAATACCACGACGAAGTGGAGCAAATTGGTACGGTTTGCTTGGTGCCTGGTGACATACTGTAAGCAAACCTACTTGCCACTATCCAGAGAATGAAAGACTTACCGCAGCAACTCTTGCTTAGCATTCAGCCCCCGAATATAATGCACTGTGTGTACACGCCGGTCAAGACAGTGGCCACAGGCGGCCACTTCTACTGTTATGACCTGTGCCATCTGACGGAGTTGTCATTGGACATCGATAGGAAGTATGGCCATGTCACCACCAACCAGGCTCATCCTTCTGTCCTCAGACTTATCGGCAACCTCGCCTTGGCTCTCCCGAATCGATGGGATAAGCCCTTGCGCAAGATCCCATTTCTCGCGCTTGCCTTGATGGTCTTAGACTCGAACAAGTATGAGGGTAATTCGAAGGGACAAGGTTCGGCCCAATATTATCCACAGGGGCGGTACATGAGGGAGATCAAGGGAGAATCAGCATATGCGAAGCAAGTCATCAACTGTGTTCTCGACTTTAATGGCATTCCCGGTGATGTACCCTCCATGCACTCCCTCATCCATAAACGTCCGGGGAAAGACATTAACAGCCCAGGCGATGAATATGTAGATCTCTCATGTCTCAAAAGCTTCGAATTCGTGTCTGTGGTACAGTAAATTCATGTCTGTGGAACAGTAGTACGGTTAATACATTATTAGTACAATACAATCTGGCAGCACGCCAGTGGTTGCTTCAATAAATTACCGCCTTTGATGCTCGTATCGATGACCTGTTGCACCGGAATACACAGAAGGTAAAAATGCAGAAACTAGAAATGCACTTGTTACCAGGACCAGTTGTAAGAAGAGTCACAGTGTGTACGTGCTATCGCGAGGTTGCACCATTATTACCACATATGGCAGTAGCATTCGTGGCCCACAGGGGATATTACCCACGCTATATCAACGGTGATTACCAGCAGACCGTGGGACTCAGTTGC